GTAGTCGTGGTAGTCGTGGTAGTAGTTGTAGTAGTAGTTGTAGTTGTAGTTGTAGTTGTAGTTGTAGTTGTAGTCGTTGTCGTTGTCGTTGTCGTTGCCGTTGTCGTTGTTGTTGTTGTTGTTGTTGGAGTTGGTAGTAGTAGTAGTAGTAGTGGTAGTAGTAGTAGTAGTAGTAGTAGTAGTAGTAGGAGCAGCAGCAGCAGCAGCAGCAGCAGTAGTAGTTGTACTTGTAGTTGAAGCAGTAGCACAAGAACGGTAGCCAAAGAAGCACGGGTCGGCAGTCGCGGGATCAGGGCGACACGACGATTACTGGCACTACCACTAGTTGAGAGATCACAGATCCGAGACTCTTGTTGAATGTGGGTGTCTGCGAAATTGCAGATGCCTGCTCGACTTGCCGGAGTTCAAGGCAATTATGTGACTTATCATGGGAAGCCCTAGCCCTAGCCCGGGCCCAACCTGAGAGCCTCTACCCCACCCGAAAGAACCAGAAACACAAAGACAACCTCTGGTCATCTGAGCATGTCACCGACAGTCATGCCACCATCCTGCCGAGCCACTGGCCAGAAAGACGGAAGGGTTTCTGAAGGCGAGACGGCTCTTCATTCTGCCAGTGCCATGATTCCGTCTTCTTTGTTGTTATTGCTGCTGTACTCTCAGGGTGGTGGCGGTGGTGCGCTGCTGCTGCTGCTGCTGCTGTGGATGCTTCTTGTGTTCTTTCCTGTTGCATACACCCACACCCGCCCTAGTGGTTGGTTTCCCTGCATGCCAAGTTTGATGTGGCAGCTTGTCTGTAATGGCGGCTTGGAGCGCGACTGCGATGGCGAGAACTGTTGCGCATTTTGCCTACTTCTCACACGACGTTTACCCTTGCTACCGCTGATGTGCTGCACTCCTGTGAGTATGGTGTATCAATTCTTCACGATGCGCTTCTGCGTGTGTACATATCTACGACTGACACCCTGCGTCGCTTCTGAGGACTTACTTTTTTGGCTTGTCGCCATGCTCTCAGAAGTTAATGTCCCCCACGGAAGGGCTTTCACTGAAGCGGAGTTGCAGTGGCTGGGTCGAAGAGGTCCTCGTAGAGGTTGAGGTTGCAGGAATTGGGCCTGCCGAGGGTGCGTCTCGCAGGCTGTGGAGTGCCCTGATGACTGAGCTTTCGGCCAGTCTTTCTGCGAGAGACCGCAGGGCTTGAGAACTAGCTCCATAAGCTCGTTCCTCGTCGATGAACATGTGAGGATTGCAAATGCTTCCTTGCCGTCGTAGTGTCTTCTTTGGGCTAAGCTCGTGGCATCCAACTCGGGAACTTCTGAGGCGCCACCTCGATTCCTCCGTATCTATACCTGGAATGGGCTTTGCTGGACTCGAGCCAACGAAGACGCTATTTTGAGCAGCATCCAGTGGTCTGAAAGGGGCACTTGCAGTCACAGCCGGCTTTCACCATCCAGCAGGTCTTGCGAGGGATTTGACCTGCATGGACTCTTCGGAGTTGAACTGGATTCTGTCTGATGCCGAGGGCAGGACCCAGGGGGCCCTCTGGCTGTTGCCAGTCCACCGAGTCCTCCATGCACAGCCGGATCTGAAGGCAAGGTCTGGACTCTGGACTGGGAGTCCCGAATCTTCTTGAAGAAGCTGTCGCACACATCCTCCTTTAGGAGGCACGGTATGTACCTGGATCATTCACTAGAAGTGGGCACGTCTGGCAGTCAGTACCACGGTACTGTTAAGAGGGGACATCTCCCACATGCTGGCTAGGACGTGTGTTCACCCGGCGAAGCAGCGGCGGTTCTCGTCTGTCATCGGGTAGCTCCAGAGCTTGCGACTCGGCGGGCGTCCAAATGTCCATTGAAACCTATTCGCATACCGTATATCTCTGTGGGTCACATATTGTGCACTGTTGGTGTCTGTTAGACCATCTTAAGTGAGATCCAAAGAAGCACGGGATGCCAAGTGGGCCCTCAAGATCCTGCTGAACACTCCAGGTCCCTAACGAAGGTAACACGAAACGAGGCACTGGTAAGGACAACAGCAAATGACTCCCATCGACAAAATGACAAAATGAGACAGCAACCGTCTCAATCTGTCGTGAGCTTGGAGAGCGGCCACTCAGAGGGAGCTGGGGGCCAGGGCTTTTCTTCGCCACAGTCCTCGCCCAGAAGCTTGAGCTTGGTCCGTGTCCGAGGCTCCTGCATCGAAAGTGAGACGCGTCCCGGAACTGGGGTCTGGGTCCCGGGACGTTGGGTTGCCGTCGACTTTACAAGCAGGGCCAGGCTGAGGTGCAAGAGCTAGAGCAGCAAGATAGGCCAAGGCTGGCCACCTCTGTGTTCACACGGGCAAAGCTGTTTTGCTCGGAGCCAGCGCAAAGGCTCATGGGAATCTGGAGAAGTGTACAGAAGTTTATGCAAGCTAATCCCAACCACGATTGCAACGAAAACAGCAGTTCTGTGCTTCTGCTTTCCCCTCAAGTCAGAGTTCTGCGCACCGCTGGAAGTTGTCTGCCAGTTCCTGAGATGTAGATATTTTGTTCGCATCATGTGGCCTGGCGGCTAAACCTCAATTCTCGTGTCAAACAATTGCGTCCTCCCAGTGATCATCGTCGAACTTTGTCGGCGGTGGCGGCTCCTAGTCAGGCAGGATTCGCTGCAACGGACACCAGCAGAGGATCCGACGGAAACCCTGCAGTCAAGGAGCAACAAACGTCGCTGAATTTGGGTCTTTCTGAGGCTTTCGGCATGGGATGAACGTAGTGTCTGAAAGAGTCTTGCATTCTTTCAAGATTTGATCACATTCTTAATTGCTCATCATTGCTTCAGAATCTGTTCAGAATCGAGCTGAGGAACGGCCCTACTCACCGCGGAAGGCATGAGCCTTTCTGAGGCCACCTGCAGCATGGCACCCTGCATTTTCCCTTTGGTGAAGTGCCCCATTTCAAAGTGCTCCTCACGCTCCTTCTTCTTCTTCCGGTCCTGCAGGTGGAGCTACAACACGACAAGGGACATCGGAGAGCACTCCCAGCGACGCCCTCTCCTCGTCGCTGTCTTTGTCCCGGCTTTCCTGCCACCAACACGTAGTCCCACGCGCGTAAGCAAGCGCCCAGAACTCCTCCCACAGCCTATTTGAAGCTTCTGAAGGCCTTCATCAAACAGGCAGAGGGGCACCCGGGCAAGCGGCGGATATCCCGGGTAGTGAGGCGGGAAGCCTGGCCTCAGCAGCTGCATCCCATCCCATCGCTGCGAGGTCTTTGCCATGCACAGGACGGCCCCATGAAACTCGCTTCTAGCAACACGTCCTGCTGGTTCACTTACGACCCGGATCCAAGAGTGAAGCGGGTGGCCAGGATACACAGGCCTCGCATCATCCAATTGAGCATTGGAATGAATGATGGCAGTGGTGGTAATGAAGAACAGGCATTCCTGGAATATCCAAAGTCAGGAGAACCACTGAGCTGCTGGCATATAATAGCCAGGATGATGAGGATGGGGTGCATAGTGTATTGGATAGTGCCCATTTGGCCTTGGTGGGGTACATGCGCACATACTGTGTAGCGCATCTGTCACCCGAGCTTAGCTTCCGGCACCATGTGGGCACCGGGCATCATCGGATGCATCCCATGCACGACTGGAGCTCCCGCGTAGTGCATGTGAGGTTGCCTCGGCAGCTTGACAGAACGGTCTCAGTGTTCACCTCAGAAGAGAAAGCTGAGACCTCTACCCGGGTAGCGCTTGATGCGGATGTCCATACGCCACTTGGGCAGCATGTGCTGCGTGGGCTGCATGGGCGGCGTGGGCCGCATGAGCCGCGTGGGCTGCGTGGGCCACGTGAGCCGCATGGGCCGCTTGAGCTGCGTGGGCTGCATGTCCTTGTGCATGTGCATGCCTCGGTCTTTGGCGCGACACGGCGACATCTGCGAACTCTGACACGAGACTCTTGCAGATATGCCCGAACGTGGCTTAGCTCACCGCAAAATGCCAGGAGGCGCTTGATGCACCTGACTTTCGAGTTCCAATGCATGCAGGCCTCTGTGTCGAAACTACCAGATACGGTCGCTGCAAGCAAGGCTTATGCCTCAGAACTCTGCCCGAGATACCTGTGCCGTGCTCGCATGTCCACCGCTGCCAGGTGGAGTCAGTCCCACCTCGGCACTTTCGACACGAGGCTCTCCCCGGGTGTTGAAAACTTCTCCCGAGTTCCCTTGTTTGCAACTTCTACTGCGAATGAGCATTTGCATGCAAAGCCAGGATTCTGGAACCAACCAGAAATTTATGGTACGATCCTGGAGCTGAGGGTGGGACTGCATGTGATACTGCTGCAGTCAGCATACCTTCTCGTGTGCGATTACCATGCATAGGTCCGAGGGATCGAGGTCTACCCTTAAAGCCCGCTTTCTAAGGCGATTCTCTCCTGGGAAAGGCAGGTCGCGAGATCCGTCTGGTCAAGACAGCCAGACTGACAAAGAAACAATGGGACGATAATTATGACGGTATGAACAGGTACGTCGCACGTGGACGATGCCTTGTGCAAAAACGACGTCATGAAGACCGCACCGGAGGAGCAAGGCACTCAGCTCAGCCAGTTGCAGAATCGCTGCCAACAGTCCTCCCCGAAAACGGAACTTGATGCAGAAAACGATGAAAACGAAGAATCGAAGACTAAAAAGTTCATGATATACCACGGAGAAAGCAAGAAGCATTCACCCAGAACAGGACCTGCAAAGTTGGGAAGACGCCCTGCCTAAGTAGTCTGATGAAGCAGTCGCAGACCTCGACCAGATGTGCTTCTGAAGTTGCCAATGCAAAAAGCTCAAGGCACACGTCTGAGACAGAGTTCCGCCATCGAGCTGTACTCAAACCTGGACCACCGAGATGCGGACGTGATGTATGCATGGAGAACAACCACATACAAATCATACAAATGTTGATTGTATGTCTCGTCCAAAAGAAGTCAAGCTGTGTATGTACTCAACAAATCCGTGCAAATGTCCCCTCTGGTTCTCAGGACACTTAACCCGGACACCTCAAATGTCTCACTCCAATGAGCGGCTGCGCACTGGGGTTTGCGCGTGCCGGAAGTGGCTGGTGTCAGGGTCGAAGCCGCATGGGCCTTCCACGGGTTCTAGCACTAGCTCTTTCCGTCTGTTCAGCCTTGTCGGTTCTTTCACCCGAACTGACTCTAACTGTCTGGCACCTGTACACTGGCCAAACATCAGAAACCGCAGTAGCAGTATCGGCAGCAGTCGCAGTCCTAGCAGTAGTAGCAGTAGAAGTAGAAGTAAAAGTAGAAGTAGAAGTAGTAGTAGTAGTAGTAGTAGTAGTGTCGTGGTGGTGGTGGTGGTGGTGGTGGTGGTGGTAGTCGCAGTCGTAGTCGTAGTAGTCGTAGTAGTCGTAGTAGTCGTAGTAGTCGTAGTAGTCGTAGTAGTCGTAGTAGTAGTAGTAGTAGTAGTAGTAGTAGTAGTAGTAGTGGTAAAAGTAGTGGCTGTAGGAGTAGAAGCAGCAGGAGGAGGAGGAGGAGCAGTCGTAGCATTAGTAGTAGTAGTCGTAGTAGTAGTAGTAGTAGTAGTAGTAGTAGTCGTGGTGGTGGTGGTGGTAAAAGTAGTGGTAAAAGTCGTGGCTGTAGGAGTAGAAGCAGCAGCAGGAGGAGGAGCCGTCGTAGCAATTGTAGTAGTAGTAGTAGTAGTAGTAGTAGTAGTAGTAGTAGTGGTAGTAATAAGGAAATTTCATTGAAGCCTCTATACGAAGCCTTTGACAAGCTACCGCAATCCTTACTTTTGGCAAAGGGCG